GCCACACATTTCCCGTCTCTCAGGGGCTCACGTGGCAGCCGAACTCCAGTGGGGACGGCCTCCCGCGGCTCTGCAGCGGGCAGCTGCCAGCCATGGGCAGCTCTGTCCTCTGGTGATGGACAAGGCCGTCCTGGTCCCTGCCCTGGGGGTTGGAAGCCAGAGGTGTCGCTGGTCACTGGGCATCTGTCCCAGACTCTGTGAGTGCCAAGTGGGAGATGCCCTGACGGGAACCGGCTAGAGGCTGTTCTGGGGGAGGGCTTTCCGGGGGTGCAGCTGAGAGGCTGGAGGAGCGCCCCCAGCAGGGCAGCAGGTGTGAGGCCTGCAGGGCGGGGACCCTGGCACTCACGGCCCCAGGGAGGGCGGCTGGGCTGTCCAGGCAGGGGGGGCCTTGGGCACGGGAGAGGGGCTGTGTCTTAGACGAGCACGAAGCAAGGTGGTGCGTGTCTGAGGCAGGGGCTCGGTACCCACGCGAACGGCCCCAGGAACCCGTCAGGAGGAAGTGGGGGGGGGCAGTCTGTGGAATTACGGGGTTATCGGGGGGTCTGGTCTGATGAGTGTGAACGTCTTCTTGCTTCTAATTGGGTTCTGTCGAAACCAGTGCAGAACTTTCTGGACTCTGTGCCCAGTGGGAAGGCAGCAGAACCCCGACTCTTTGCAGAAGGGAAGGACACCCCGCCCCTGCCTGTGGCTTCACACTAAGAAGCCCCCCCCCCAAGCTGCCTTCTTAGGGTCTTACTTCCCCCATCTCCGCCAACTAGTCTGTCTCTCGGGACGATTCCCAGGGTCTCGTGTCTTAGATCTGCTTTCCCCGGGAATTTCTTGCCCCCGAAGGGTCGGCGGAGTCCACGCCACGTCAGCAGGAGGCCTGATCTCACAGACCCCAGAGTCCGCCTGGACTCCGCATCCCCACCTGGACTCCCCGTCCCCACCTGGACTCCCCGTCCCCAAGCACCAAATAGGTTCAGACTTTCATCAGACCTTTTTTTTTTTTTGGAAAAGCGTGGGTGGGTCCTGTGAAGGGGAAACTCCGCCCACAGACAAAATGCAAAAGGAAGCGGGGCGACTTCTTTGGTCCTGCAGACCCTGGGAAGGCCCCTTGCTGGGCATGACCCTGAGGTCAGACCGCAGGGGTGCTGTCTGCAGAGTCACCTGGGAAGGGTCTGGTGGCCGAGGAGCAGTGTCCATGCCCCTGGAGCCCCTGAGCAAGACTGTCCCGCAGGAGGGGCACAGACTCCAGGGGGAGCCCCTCACAGCAGGGCTGCCTGTCCACGGGGACCAGGCGAGTGCCCGCCCAGAGTCAGGGAGGAAGCGGTCAGAGGACCAGGGCAGCTCCTTCACCACCTTGCACCCCTTGCAAAGGAAACAGGGTCCCCGCGGGGGGGCCCTTGGGGGAGGGGGACCCCCTCCCGCCTGCAGTGCTCAGCGGAGCTGGCTTCCAGGCCAGGGGCAGTGGCCAGGGGGCAGGCGCGCTGCTTTCTCTGCTCTCTGAGCGCACGTTTGCCCGCTGCCTCCCGGGGAGCCAGCCTGCAAGGGGCATTCATCCCCAGGCGTGTCGTTCCGGAGCGCCGGCACAGCCTGCCGTGGCACTGGGACCGTAGGAGACGGCTGCAGGGACCAAAGAATGTGCCCTTTGGACGGGGCGGGGGAGGAGGATGGAGCGGCCGTCACTCGAGGAGCCAGGTTCTCGGCAGCTGGGGTTCGCGGCCTCTGAGCCCAGGGTGTCACGCGTGCCGCCGGCCTGGAGCCGGTGACTCAGGGAGAGGCCCCAGCAGCCTGCTGTGCCCCTGGCCGAGTCCTCAGAGCACACCCAGCCGGCAGCACGGCGCCCGACACGGGACCTGGCCAGCAGGGCCTGAAGTCCTCACAGTAAACACGTGATGTTTAAGTGCAATTCACTTGGCACTCTAAGGGTGACCTTTGAAATGCCAGAAATGTCTTCGGAGATATTTTTTTGTTTTATCAGTAGTTTCTACAGCACACCCAGCTTTTTAACCTGGAGGGAGCGGAGGGAGGGTGAGCTGCCTGCTCAGTGACTCATGCCCCGAGGAGCCCAGGACCTGCCCTGCCTCCTGCCCGGGCCGCGAGGGTCCTCTCCAAGCCGGGCACCACTGCACTGCCCGCTGGGGCGCCTGCCACAGGCTCCTCCGTCTCAGGTGCACCCAAGGGCACCTCACCTGCACACCTGGCAGACGCAGCCACCTGCGTGGCGACACCATGAAGGTGTTCAGGGCCTTATCGGACCTCATAATGTTTTTTGTTTTTGTTTTTGTTTTGTTTTTCTAAAAAGAGCCAGAAGCTCATTTTGTTGGTGTGAAATGTTCTCGCTTTCACACACGCACGGCACTGTGGCGGACACGGAATCTCCCGGGTGGGGTGCACCGCCCCAGGAGCAGGTCTGCAGGGCACCGCCTGGCGCTGGGCGCAGAGTCTGCCCGAGCAGATGGCGGCCTGGTGGGCACCAGTAGGGGTTCCCGGTGGAGGGCTCACCGTGGGCATGGCAGAGAGGAGGCGGGGCTGTGCGGACGTCCGCACTGAGGGCTGGACAGCGTGACAGTGGCCATGGGGAGGCGCTGGGAACGTCTCACAGGTGGGCTCTGGTGGCCGGGACTTGGTTTGTTGGCAGAAAGCTGGGAGCAGGGAAGCCCCCCAACCCTGGGCCCTGCGCGGCGTGGGCTGAGAGGAGAGACCGGTGCTTCCTCCGGCTCTTCCTTCGGAAGGCGCCCAGGCCCGCCGTGCTCTGCCCAGAAGTAAGCAGCCCTCCCGGGAAAACACTCACTTCCTAGAAACGGTCAAAAAACTCAGTGTTTCTGATGCGCACCCGGGAGGGAGGCTGGCGGCAAGCGGACCGCTCCGCGCTGGCCTCCAGCCGGGCCGCGTGGATGAAGGAAGGGCGCGGGGCCTGTTTGCCGTCTTGACTCGCTCGTGCGTGGGACGTGGCCTGTCCCCTTCCTCGCTCAGGTGTGGGGCCACGTGGCCGGGGTGGACGGCAGGCCGGCACCCCGAAACCTCGCGGGGGCGAGCCCAGCCTCCTTCTCTGTCCGACGGGCACGAGGCTGGTGCTTCGTCTTTAGTTCTGCAGGTGGGAAGGGAGACGCAGATAACGGAGAAGAATAAAACATGGGAAGTGTGCAAAGGATGACCTCGGTGTCCGGCTTTTAACAAGGAAGAGAGAATGGACGTCTGACCACTTCTCAGGGCAGAACTTGTGTCCGAAGTCCCTCCCCAGGGTCCTGTTCCCCAGCGGACCTGACCTGTGGCTTGGGGCCCTGTCTGATCCCATTTGCTTTCCTTTCCCCATTTTTAAATGATCTCGTTCATTTTGCAAGTGACGCGCACACAGGCACCGTTAGTCACCGGGACGTGCACAGAGGCGGAACGGAGAACGGACGTAATCATCGTTGCTGCTGCTTTGCCGCAGCCTCCTAGAGCAGCGGTTCTCAACCTGTGGGTCGCGACCCCTTTGGGGTGCAACGACCCTTTCCCAGGGGTCGCCTAAGACATAACAGTAGCAAAATTGCAGTTATGAAGTAGCAACGAAAATAATTTCATGGTTGGGGGTCACCACAACACGAGGAGCTGTATTAGAGGGTCGCGGCGTCAGGAAGGCGGAGAACCGCTGTTCTAGACGGTTCATGGTCTATGGCTGTCACGTGCACCTCTCGTGAAAACAGGATTTTTCTAAGATAATATTTGGAAGCTTGTTTTCTAACAGACCTGTAGTGAACATTACGTTGATTTGCGTCCTTTCGGTGTATTTACCCGGTGCCGGTAGGACGTTGTCTGGAGGCCCCAGGCTGCGTGAGCCTCAGTCACGCTCCCTCTGACGCTCCGCGTTCTCAGCCGCAAAAGTCCTGAGGCCGGAACGAGGGGGAACGAGGGGCACTCCCTGAGGCCGTTAGTGGCGTAGGTTCCGCTGCCCAGTAAGTGCTAGCGGTTATCGTACAACACCGTGGGCCTATGAAAAATAGGTTCTTATCTGTAAATAAGTGCACACGCATGTAGATGGAACGTGCACACATGTACACATATGCACACATGGATATGCCTACTTCTGCAGAGAATAAAAAATACTTACAGAGTAAGGTCAGGGCCTTCCCTGAGTAACCGGGAGGAGATGAGAATTTCTCAAACTGTTATCAGAGAGGGGGACTCGTGGTCAGGTGCTGAAATGTCCTACCAGGCGAAATGAGAATTCAGAGCATGGCCCGAAGCAGGTGCGGACAGCACAGGGTTGTGCATCAAGGCGCTGCGTCTCGCCTCACAAACAGCGCCTGTGTCCACGGCCACCCGTGTGGGCGGGGCTGGCCTGGTGGGCCTTCTGGCTAAGTTAGTTCGTCTCGATGTCGCCCGAATACATCTTCCATGGGATGGATCCACGGACCCTGAGCTGGGACCAGATTCAATTAGGAGCGTGGGGACCGTCTGCCGGTGGGGTGACAGGTCAAATGCCATCCACCGGTGACTCGGAGAGGGTGTCCCCCGCAGACTCTGCCGCATGCCCACACCTTGACCTGAAGAAACAGGGCGTGAACACGTTTGGGCTTTTTCTTTCCAGACGCTGCCTTTCAAAAACGCTCCGTCTGTTTTTGTTTCTCTTCGTGGCGCACTTGCTCTGAGCGTTTTTCGGCCAGGTCAGGCGCAGGCACTTCTTCCCCGCAAAGGCACCGTTGAAGCGTCGGCCAGCTTCCTCCCGCCATGGGCTCAGAGTTGTGTCGCTGCAGAATCTCTCAGTCTGTTTGACCTTTATCCAGCTCGGTCGTAATTTCGGCGTCGCTCGGTGTCACCTCACTGCTGCTGCTGTGACTGGGAACAGGGTCGTTAAAAAGTGCTCCTGGACCCGTCCCGTAGGCCGAGCAGCTCGGGAGGCGTTTCCGAGAGAGGGGACCGCTCCGGGGAGGGAATGAAGGGGACGGAGCCTCGGTCCCGCGGGGTGTTCACGGGCCGGGTCGTTGCTCCGCAGTGGGGACCATGCTTCATCCTGTCCCCGTGCTGTCCCTCAGGAGGAAGATGAAGTCTCGGGCTCCGCCTCCCCCCGGGATGCCTGCCACCCCAACCGTGCAGAGGGGACAGAGCCCTCACCGCGGAGCGTCCCCCGTCCGCCAGCAGAACCTGCTGTCCCTGAAGGAGAACCTGCGGGACCGGGCGGTGGACCTGACCGTAGTGCTGCCCAGCGGGCTGGAGAAGAGGAGCCTGGTCAGTGGGAGGTAAGGCCGGGCCCTGGGCGCAAACCTGCTGGGAGATGCGCCGCCAGCTCTCCTCCGTCCCCAGCAGGGGGCAGCACAGCACACTTCTGCAAGGGGCGGGCTCAGCCTGGGTGCAGGCCCCGCCCCCTCCCAGCAGGGGACCAGCCACCCTCTGGGCCTGCATCCTGGTCACTGACAGCCTGTGGCCAGGGGCAGCTTCCCGAATGACCCCTTTGCATGTCCACTCCGGCTAACCACAGAGGTGACATCCAACCGGCCACCCCTCTCCAAGTTCAAGTTCAGACTAAGAAAGAAAATCTGATCCATGGGTTTTATTTGTATTTATTTATTAAAAATTTTTTTCTTTATTGATTTTTTAGAGAGAGAGGAAGGGAGAGGGAGAGATAGAAACATCGATGAGAGAGAACATCAATGGGCCGCCTCCTGCACGCCGCCCACTGGGGATCGGGCCCACAGCCTGGGCATGTGCCCTGACCGGGAACCGAACCGGTGACCTCTTGGTGCAGGGTCGACGCTCAACCACTGAGCCACACTGGCCGGGCTGATCCACGGGATTTTGGTGTAAGGGATGTGCACTCTAGACATGTGGTTCCCGCCCCTCGTCTTAGATCCGATCTGCCTGGAACGCGTCTGGGTCAAGGTCACAGCCTCCTTCAGTCATAATTTAAGAGTTTTGTTACCAATGATATTTCTAATTTTGTATTTGATATTTATCAAAATATATCATAATTATGTTTTCTGACCAATTCTGTGTCGCTGCTGCTGTCGTTACTAATCACTTTATAATAAAAAACAAACAAACAAAAACTTTGACACAGTCACAGGAAACAAAAATTCAAATGTAAATGTTTATACAGCTTTCATTGTAGCGAGTATGCTAGAGTGATCGATGCTAAAAACGTTCAGACGTGAAAACATATCTGCAGACTTCCGAGGGGTGGCATTTCTAGGAACGCGAAGAGAACAACACGCTATGAAGTCCGAAGCCTCGAGGAGCAGTTTGGGGTGTTCTGACAGGGCAGTGGTGGCCGCCACCGCGTCTGGCTGCTTCCATCCCGTCGTCACTCAACACGGTGATGCCGCGGGCTCATTCCTGAGTGTCAGTTTGTGGCGTCTACCTGAAATTCACTGCGAAGATTTCTATTTGAGTTGAAAGGCTACGCTTTATAATGAACATTCTAGGAGACAAGTTTTTAAATCATTTCATGGGCCACGTGAGCAGGAACTCGAGGGCCATTACGCCGAGCCCTGATGTCTGCCTAGGACGACAGCCGTTGAGTTTGGGGCCCAGCATCTCCCAATTAGGTGTTCGACTCCTTCCCCAACAGTGCTGCAGGCAGGCACTGGGGGCTGCTCCTCAGAGCACCCCTGACACCACCGTCCCAGCGGAAGGGCTCGGGTGCAGAGACGAGGCTGCCTTGGAGCCCCGCGGGACGTGTCGTTGTAGGGGTTCTGTGTTCTTTGTGTCACAGAGTGGTCGCGTTCTCAGTGGGTTCCCCGGCTGCACTTGAACTTGAGGTGCACGCCGTAGTATTCCCGGGCTAACCTACTTCCACAGATGCAGCCAGTGTGTCAGCGAAGACCTTGTGTTTCCCTCACGATTCTTATATTTTGGGGCCAATTTCGAGTTACATTACAAAAACAACTTGATTGAAGTATGGTTAACAAACAACTGTAGCGACTTAAGCGATGCCGCTCAGTGAGGTAGCGGGTGACCCGCTCGCAGCAGACCGCAACCTCTGTCCATCTGGTTGCGTATTCTTCGGAGAAATGGCCTTGGGGCCATGTGTTCATCCTGTAACACAAGGACCAGCTCACAGGAGGAGACAGGTCACCTGCCCAAAAAGCATGCTTTGGAAAACGTTTTTGACTCCGAACACATGCTTTCAATTGTATCTTTATTCTTTCCGCTTACAAAGTAGCAGCTCCCACCGTGTTGCGTCACAGTGTAGCTATGACAGAGGTACAGGTAGAGACTGAGGAGTCAAATAACTTCCTGTTTGCTAAGTAGCAGGTTCTGACCCCTTTCCAAGGAAGGCTTCCCGGAGGACGGAGGGGGAGCAGCGGCCTGCGGGCTGCCGTAACGGGCCATCGGTGTAATAACTGTCGCTCAGTCCCAGCTCCGTGTTTTATATCTCGCACTCTAATAATACAGGTGTGGGCCGAAGCCCAGTCCTTGCTAAAATCGGTCTCCTGTGTCAATGAGCACGGGCCCCTCTCCTGTTGTAGGAGAGAACTTTCTCGCTGGATAGGAAAGTGCTTTATAATTTGCAGTCAGCCTCCTAACTGTGTTATTTCCCAACATGAAGATTCCCATAAAGAAACCACAGTAGTCCTGGGGTCCGAGCCTGCCCACCGCGGGGTCGGTGAAGCCGCGTGTGGACGGACCGAGTGTGGTCGCCTGCGGCTCTGAGGGGCCTGACCTTGCTCTCAGGTGAGCTCAGGGCTGCAGGGGCAGGAAGCCTGCTCTGCTCCAGAGCCTGAGTTAACCAGCCACGTTGGAAAGGGCGGCTTCCATGCAGGGAGTCCCCGGGAGAGGAAGGCTGTTCTAAAACAACAGGCCGTGCCCGGCCCGTGGGGCTCAGTGGGTGCGCGTTGGCCCTGCACCAGGTCACCGGTTCGATTCCCAGCCAGGGTATAGCCCAGGCTGTGGGCCAAATCCCCAGTGAGGGGCGTGCAGGAGGCGGCCAGTCGATGTTCTCTCTCATCGATGTTTTCATCTCTCTCTCTCTCCCTTCCTCTCTCTAAAATATCAATAAAGAAATTTTTTTTTTAAATAACAGACTAATAGGTCGGTTTGGCCCGACTCAGGTCTTCACTTGGAGAGCACCTGTCTTAAAGGCTTCATTTCCCTCAGAGTGGTGTGCGGTTCGCGCGTCATTGAGAGGAAGGTGCAGAGGTTCCCGTGCACCTGCCCCACACAGGGCCCCAGCGTCCGGTGCCCACAGCAGGACATGTCCCTGGTGGTGGCATCGGCGCTCTCGGCGTGCTGCGTCCTGGGGTTCACGCAGATTACAAAGACCTGCCTGTGACAGTGTGGCAGGCACTGTCCCCTCCCTCGGGTTTTCCCGAGTGTCCAGGGCCAGGAGCCCGTGCTGGCCACCTCGCGGGGCACCTTTCTCAGCGGCAGCCGCTCCCTTTGCCTCCCGGGGCCTGACTCACGCGTCCGGGGACTTCCTCCCCAGACGCTCCGCCTCACTGAGGCTTTGTTGGGGCGAAGTGCAGGAGAAGCTATAAAAAAGGGACGTCACGGATTCGCAGAACGCGGTCCTCACCTGCAGTCACCGCTGCTTCCTCTTGGAGCACCTGGCCTGGGGGCAGCTCACCTGGGCACCGGGCGTCGTCTTCACTGCCCTCACTACTAGTCCACGGAAGGTGGCCTTCCTGTCACCAGTCGTACAGAGGGGACGCCTCACTGGGTGGGATCGTGATAGACCAGGCAAGAGAAGAGCATCTATTCACGGAGCCAGCACGCACCTGGCTCCTGGCGCTAAGGTGCTCGGAGCAGGCTGTCCCCGCGCGCGGACGGGGTGGGACTCGCACAGTTCCAGCCCGAACCTGCAGCGCTGCCTCTGGCCAAGGACCCCCCGCCCTGCGGCTCCTCAGCCCTGTCTCTTCTTTGTCCTTCTCACCCTCTGCCCGTGTGCGCCACTGTGCGGCACCCTCTGGCACAGACGTCCTCTGGTTGGGCTGTTGTCCTGCTGGCTGCTGTCTCCCTGATGATACATGACGCCACCTGACGGGACCGGCTCCCAGTCTCACTGTGACTCGGTTACACCAGTTTGCCGTACCCAGGGCTCGGAGCCACCTGCTGGCCTTGGTCCTGCTCGAGAAACGAGGCCACGTTCAACCAGGGTGAGACTTGACAGTGCCCACGAACTGTGCTGGTCTGACATCACGTCCAGAAGCGGCCACCCGCACGGAGCACGTGACGCTGGCCCAGAGGGACCCCTTGACCCAGGGAAGACACACACACTGAATGCTGTTCCCCGGGAAGGTGCAGGGTGGGGTGCCTTTCAGAGTAGTCTCAGACCAGCGGCAGCCGCATGGCCTGGGAGCTCATTGGAGAGCAGATTCCCAGCCCAGACGGAGTGACTCAGAGACCACGGTGGGTGACAGGGGCCTGAGGTCACATGGTGCCTGGCAGGAAGCCCAGGGACTTGCTGACCTGAGGACCTTGGGGTGATTAATGTCAGCAGCTCAAGAATGGTCCCCAGCGGCCGGACCACAGGCAGGCTTTGGGAGTCAGATAGAAGCACCTCTGCTGGACAAGGACAGTGTACGCTGCAGCCCCTGCCGCATGGAAATCGGACTTGGCCTCTCTGGTCCCTGTCCACACAGCCCGCTCCGTCCCCTGGTCCCTGAGGGCCCCTGCACGGGGGGAGCGGAGCATGGCACCGGCTGCTCACCACCCTGTCTGGCTCTCCACCGACATTTCAAAAGGAACCACGTCAGAAAAAAAGACCAGTTTTCTTCTTTTTGAAACCACTGACTTAGGCAAAAACACGGTGAAGTCCATGCACATTAGGAAAGTGATATTTTTTAAATAAAGAAGTAGAAAAGCTCTACTCTATAAATTTAAAAATGGAGACCACACAATGTTGAAAAAGAAATTTCAACTGTACATTCCGAGCACTTAGAAGACGTGTGTGGGGAGAGAGAAGCCGGAAGAGAAGACGGTAAACGCATCCATTTATTTAGCGAACTCCTGCACCGCGCCTGACACTGTCCTGCAAAGTCACACTTTCCCCAGTGGGAAAGAAAGCTGTCATCCTCTCCAGGGTAAAGTCTTCAGTGTTTAAGATACACGAGTAATGGCCCTGCTGGTGTGGCTCAGTGGATGGAGCGTCTTCCAGTGGACTGAGAGGTCCTGGTTTGATTCCCCGTCAGGGCACATGCCCGGGTTGTGGGCTTGATCCCCAGTAGGGGGCGTGCGGGAGGCAGCCCATCAGTGTTTCTCTCTCTCTCCTCCTCTGTCTCTAAAAAAAATCAATAAAAACATATATATTTTTTTGAGGCACAGCACCCACTGATGGGGTAAGTGGGGACTTCCTGTAATGTGACTCGGGTCCGCTGACTTGACAAGACTCAAGTCAACAGGCCCACGGAGTTACTGCAAAGGGAACGGTTTTTGCAGCGACACGGTTCTGATCACCTGGTTGTTCTTTTGGTCCCTGTCACTTATCAGTGTTGAGAATGTGAAGCTATCACTGGACAGTCACCCTAAGGAATGAATGAGCCCCCGATGGCGCGCCTGTAGGTTTGCTCCTTCACCGCCGGCTCGCACCCTAAGGAATGAATGAGCCCCCGATGGCGCGCCTGTAGGTTTGCTCATTCACCGCCGGCTCGTTGGTTCTGTCCTAGGCTGAGGGATGGTGCAGACGCCTACTGACTCCGCTTTCTGTCCCTTTTCCAGCCACGCGATGATGGACCTGCTGGTCGAGCTCTGCCTTCAGAACCACCTGAACCCCTCCCACCACGCTCTTGAGATCTGGTCTTCAGAAACCCAGCAGCCTTTGAGTTTTAAGCCAAATACTTTAGTCGGGACCCTGAATGTGCGCACTGTGTTTTTGAAAGAAAAAGTTCCTGAAGAGAAGGTGAAGCCTGACCCGCCTAAGATGCCTGAGGTCAGTAAGACGGGGGGCCTTTGTTACCCCAGGACACACGCAGACACCTGTGGCCGAGGGTGCTGGGGGTGCTGAGGAGGGAGCCCCTGTTGTCTTAGTGACACCTGCAGATGGCTGTGGTGGAGGGTCTGCTTCCGTGCTGGGCAAAGTTAGGCACTGAACTGACTTTATCTTAGAAGACAGGAGTTCCCAGAACTTAATCGTGTTTGTGTTGTGACGTTGTTCCTTTGGACACTTTAGAAAAGGACCAGTCTAGGGCAGAGGTATGCACTCGGATTTCCAGCAGGGATGGGAATGGTCCAGGATGATGCACTTTGCAGGGTGATCGTCACTTGTCACATGTAGCTACTGAGCATGTGCAATGCAGCTAGTGTGGCCGAAACTCTGACCTTTTAATTCATTGAAATGTCAATAAGCAGAGCGGCTGCCCTATTGGACCAGTGCTAGCGGTTTAGTTCTGGAGGTCTTTCTGCCCCAGGATGCTGGTGGGATACAGATTTGAACATTTTCTTAGAGATCGGGGAGGGGGGGATTTTCCTTTGGAAAAGTTGACATTAGAAAGAGTTACTCATTGCAGTTGGAGAATATTTTATCATACACATAGATTTACTTCAGGCTTTTGATCATCAATTAAAATCAACACCAGCTGCTTATTATACTTTTTAATAAGACTTTGCCACGGTTTTTTTTTTTTTTTTTTAGCTCTGGTTATAAGTAGCGCCGCTCCGTTCGTTTAGAGTCTTGGACTATATACGAAGTTTTCCTGCTTTTAAAAATGGCAATTTAGCCCTGGCCGGTTTGGCTCAGCGGTTAGAGCGTTGGCCTGCGGTCCAGAGAGACCCGGGTTCGGCTCCCGCTAAGGGCACGTACCTCGGTTGCAGTTTGTCCCCGGCCCTGGTTGGTCGTGCGGGTGGCAGCCACTCGATGTGTCCCTTCACATCGATGTTTCCCTCTCTCTCTCTCTCTCCCTTCCACTCTATCTGTACAAAAATTGGAAAAATGTCCTCGGATGAGGATAAAAAAAATAAAAAAAAATTAAAAATGGCGATTCAGCCAATAGTCCGTCTCCTGTGATGTCCAGGTCTGGGTGGTGAATGAATTCTCGCCCGTGCCATCGACGTGTGTGTGAGAGGGTTTTCCCTCATTTTTCAAGCAAAAGCCATGTTCAAGGCAGAGAAACCTGACTGCACCCTGTGGCCCCTCCGACCTCCCCGGCCTGGGTGCAGACCGAGAGGGCAGGCGAGCTCGGGGTGATCCGACTTCCAGAGCCACAGGAGGGGCAGCGCGTCCCACCTGTCCGCCTAAACTCCATCGAACCCCAGCAGTCAGCCTGGACCGGGGCTGAGGCCTCAGCGCTTCCTCCGAATGGCGTCTGCTGTGTCCACGCCCCGGCACGAAGGGCCAGTGTGAAGCCAACTGCGTGACACCTGTGCATGCAGTCAGCTCCCATCAGCTGACTGTTTCTCTCTGGTTATTAGGTAGCTGCTGTAAAAAAAAAAAAAAAAAACTGAAACATTGTTCTATCCTAAAATATATATGTGTGTGGTGCATATATATAAATATGAGTGCACACAGATGTAATGGAACACTATATATCTATACAGATACTTATATACGTAGGTGGGTATCTTGGCTTCTTTTTTTTGTTTGTTATCCTCACCCGAGGACATTTTTCCATTTTTCGTTCAGATAGAGTAGGAGGGAGAGGGAGAGAGAGAGAGAAACATCGACGTGAAAGGGACACATCGAGTGGCTGCCACCCACACGACCCAACCAGGGCTGGGGACAAACTGCAACCGAGGTACGTGCCCTTAGCAGGAACCGAACCCGGGTCTCTCTGGACCTCAGGCCAATGCTCTAACCGCTGAGCCAAACCGATCAGGGCAGTTATCTTGGCTTCTTAAACAGAAGTTGGATCCTGGTTCTGCGAGGTTTTAGTTTTTCACAGTGAATGCTTCATAGTGCTCCCAAACTGCTTTCCTGTAGCAAGTGTGCAGAGGTGCCTGTGTTCAGACACGGTCAGCCTCCTGGGAGGGGCCTCCCTGCACCGGGTGTCGCACGAGACCCTCCCCCATGTCCGTTTCTCTGCGTGGTTAGCAATTTGCTCATTAGTAAGAGATTCCAAGACACACTTATTAGTCCGGGCATTACTGTTCCCTATTTCCCGTGACCCCCCGGATCTGTGGAAGGAAGACTCAGTCCACTCAACACCCCGCCGCGCTGTATCCTAGCGTCACGGCGGAGGCGGGGCCCCGTGGGAAGATGGGCTCACAGAGTTCTCCTGTCCTGCGTGTTCCTCCAGAAATCCGTGCGCTTGGTCGTGAACTACCTGCGGACACAGAAGGCCGTGGTGCGCGTGAGCCCCGAGGTCCCCCTCCAGAACATCCTCCCCGTCATCTGCGCGAAGTGTGACGTGAGCCCGGAGCACGTGGTGCTCCTCAGGGACAACGTGGGGGGCGAGGAGCTGGAGCTGTCCAAGTCCCTGAACGAGCTGGGGATCAAGGAGCTGTACGCCTGGGACAACAAGCGAGGTGAGTCCCCGCCCACGCTCAGCGCCACGCCCGGCAGCACCGGGGACGGACGCGTGAATTTTCGACTTCTGTCCTAACCAGAGCTGAAGTGGGCAGAGTGCACACCGCCACACCGCCCTTGCTTCCGTTCCCTGGTTGTCATCTGCCTCTTGGTCCCCAGCCCTGAGCACGGCCTCACCCTCTCCTGCGAGCGGCTCCGAGCTCGGGCAGACAGGCAAAGGTGAAGGCGATGGGTCCCTCCTTCTAAAGGAGCCACGGGAACCCACGCGCGAACCATGTTCTCGTGGCTTCCTTTCCAGTGGCCTTAACGGCTCCTGCAACATGGCTCACAGTCGAAGCCAGTGACAAAAATACATTGACGTGCGTCCTGAAACTGCCCGAGTTAACTTTCCCCCCAGACAAATCACGACGCTTGGTCACCGTGGAAGCTGGACACATCTTGTCCTCGTGTGCATTTGCTGCATGGCCTGGTCACAGTCTGGGCACTGGGGAGCCTGGCAGCTGGAGAGGCCAGTGTTGGGTCAAAGACTGAGCCGTCTCTCTGATCGAACCGAAGGCTGCCTTTAAACAGTGGTCCGAACACCTCGCCCGAATTTAATATTCTTTGACCTTGGACTTCATAGGAATGTCCTTCATTTATTCCACAGAGACTGAACAGATTGGGCTTTTAAAACATATGCATATTCAAGTTTTTCTGCAGCTGTTTTTGAAAGCCTTGCAGTACAAAATTGATTTTTAATTACAAAATTTAGTGTGAAACCAGTGCCTACAGTGGAGCCGCCCCTCCCCCCTCCACAAACCTCCCCCTGGAGATTCCTGGACCTGGTGGCCAACATCCCTTTAGACTGTGCCCTGTGCCATGCGGGCTGTGACATATTTGGTTACCATCCCTGCCAGAGGCCCACCCCCCACACACAGTCAAGTATTTAGGCGGAGAGAATACTTCTGGAGGCTGCCCACGCGGCGCCCTGTCCGCCCCTCCCCGGGTCCATCCCCTCCCCTGCCAGCAGCTGCCCAGCTGGTGGGGCCCAGGCAGGAGTCGTGTTGCTAGGCAGAGGCCCTCCTCCTCGGGGACCCGGGGACCCGGGCCCTGGCCCTCGCAACAGCAGAGGTCGTTGCTGCCACCTGCCCCTCCTGTGGCTGGTAGCAGCCCGGCAGCTGTGGCCCGAGGAGCTCAGGCCCGGGACGCAGGCGCCTTTGCCCGTGGCCACCACCTCCACAGGGCAGCCCGCGGCTGCTGGGCGGCCAAGGCCTTGGGGGGTGCTGCTGCTGGTCTCGGCTCGCCCTCACTCTCTCCTTGCCTGCCTTTTCCAGTTCTCCTGACCAAAACTCAGTCGGAGCCTGCGCTGAGCCGTCGAGGTACAGTGCCCGAGCTGCTTGCCCCAGGCTGCCCTGTGCATGCTCGGGCCAGGGTGATGCACGCAGTGCCTGTGGGCCCGTCCTGGGTGCCAGGGTGGCTCCCTGCCTCCGGGGGAGGCTTGCTGGCTACAGCGAGGTGTGGCTTGGCTTCTGGCTCCCTGGTGGCTGAGAGGACGCCCTGTGGGAGGGTTTGTGTGGTTCTAGTTGGTAAGAAACAAGGGAAGCTGTTCTAAGACATGGGCCTTTGGGAAGAATTCCAGGGCAGAGCACAGCCGCCCCTGTGGAAGAGACATGTTTCCGTCTTACCTGTGCTTACCTGTGCTTACCTGTGCGTACTAGTGCTCATCTGTGCGTACTAGCGCTTACCTGTGCATACCTGTGCTTACCTGTGCGTACCCGTGCTTACCTGTGCTTACCTGTGCTTATCTGTGCGTACTAGTGCTTACCTGTGTGTACCCGTGCTTACCTGTGCGTACTAGTGCTTACCTGTGCTTACCTGTGCTTACCTGTGCGTACTAGTGCTTACCTGTGCGTACTAGTGCTTACCTGTGCTTACCTGTGCTTATCTGTGCGTACTAGTGCTTACCTGTGCGTACTAGTGCTTACCTGTGCTTACCTGTGCGTACTAGTGCTTACCTGTGCTTACCTGTGCTTACCTGTGCTTACCTGTGCTTACCTGTGCGTACTAGTGCTTACCTGTGCTTATCTGTGCTTACCTGTGCGTACCCGTGCTTACCTGTGCATACCTGTGCTTACCTGTGTGTACTAGTGCTTACCTGTGCATACCTGTGCTTACCTGTGCATACCCGTGCTTACCTGTGCATACCTGTGCTTACCTGTGTGTACTAGTGCTTACCTGTGCATACCCGTGCTTACCTGTGCTTACCTGTGCATACCCGTGCTTACCTGTGCATACTAGTGCTTACCTGTGCTTACCCGTGCTTACCTGTGCATACCTGTGCTTACCTGTGTGTACTAGTGCTTACCTGTGCATACTAGTGCTTACCTGTGCTTACTTGTGCGTACTAGTGCTTATCTGTGCGTACCCGTGCTTACCTGTGCATATCTGTGTGTACCTGTGCTTACCTGTGCATACCTATATTTACCTGGGCTTATCTGTGCATACCTATACTTATCCATGCATACCCGTGCTTACCTGTGCTTAACTGTACTTACCTATATTTACCTGTGCTTACCTCTGCTTACCTGTTCTTGCTTGAACTTACCTGTCCTTGGGAGCCATCCTGTCGGCTGCGGAATTTAGGGCAGCATGGCTTGTGACATTTAACCTTTGCTGTCATAGACAAGTATGAAATGATTAGTCCAGATTTTGTATTTATTCTGCCACAAAATTCTTATAAATGATATCTATATACACACACATACATATACATTTACATATACACGCACACATAACATAGACATATACACATGTGAATATATTGGGATTTTAAGGAACCATTTGGACTATATACATACACACACACACAAGAAGTTCACTAAAATCCCAATGAGTTTTTCTATTTTACAAAAATCCCTGCTCACGTTTGTTAAAGTGTTTGACACCAGAAGAACAAAATATTGCAAGAACCCTTGGCGTCGGTCTTGCGGCAGCGCGGGCTGTGGTGTCTGACCGCAGTGCCGTCCTGTGGGGTGGTGACCGGCCTCTGTCGCTGTTCAGGGAGGGAAACTGGAGCTCAGTCTGTGGAATGTTCCAAGCCCTCTGCCATGTTCATGGGTGGTGCCCGAGCCTGTGCCAGGGACATGCTCTCTCTGCGTTCACCTGCCGGGCCCTGGGGTATCATGCATCTCCCCTGTGTCCATGCCACACACCTGTCCATCTAGATGCAGCCCAGGTGTAAACGCCACCCCGCACTTACCGTGGGTACAGACAGGTGTAGTCGGCACAGCGGCGCAGCTCGACGTCATAGCCCTGTGCCCAAAGCGGGCTGGACGCGGCGAGCTGTGCGGTTTGCATGCACGCGTGGATGCGCCTCGTGGCTGAAGCCGCCGCCTGCTGGTGTGGACGTGCGAGGTGAGGCCGCTGACCGGCTCGCTGCAGCCGCCGGCACCCACCACGGGTGCTCGTGACGGAAGCCGAGCCTGGGCCCCATGCAAGATGACCTCGCGAATGCGCGTGCTTGGATTCTGTTTGTGTTTTAAGTGATATTGAGAGAGAGAGAGAAACATCAATCTGCTGTGCCACTAATCTATGCATTCATTCGTTGACTCTTGGATGTGCCCTGACCAGAGATCGAACCCACAACCATGGCATTTCAGTATGACACTAACCAGGGCCTGGGTTTGTCGTGCTGGTGGACAGTGCCTGTTACCAGCACGCTGAGCTCGAGTCTGACCTCCGGGGGCACGTCGCAGTCCTGGGCAGCACCAGAGACTGTAAATCCCTGCCCAGACGTTTCCCCCAGTGGCCAGCGGTCCGCACGTGGCCGGTGGCGGTGATGGGGAAGCCGTGTGTGGTCCTACAGGGACATGGACTGTCTTCCTCCTGCCGTACCCATGGGCCTCAGGAGAGAAAAACCGATGGCGTTGCTGACACCGGCCTGCAGGGGCCTGTGGACGGTCAGCAAACCGGCGAGACAGTGCACAGCCTGGAGCGCAGGCGGGACTGGGTCCCCCAGCTGACGAAGAGACCGAGGCTGAGCTGCGTGCCTGAGCGAGCCCACGCCCCTGGTTCTCAAATGTCCCCACACCGGGAGCATCCCCGAGGGGACGGGCTTGTTGGATGCAGGGCGCTGGGCCCGCCGCAGAGCTTCTGCTTCAGGGTTCAGGGCTGGGCCCCAGCTCCCGTGACGCTGAGGCTGCCGGTCCCGCTTCATCCTCAGAACCAGGGTCCTGGGCCGCACCCAGAGCCGCATGTCCTGTGTGGAGCACAGATGCCTGGTCCGGCCCAGTCGCGTCCTGGTGACTCCGGCACAGGCAGATGGGTCGTAGCAGTGCAGTGACTATGGAGGGGCCAGGCGGGCACGGGAAGTGTCGGGGGGCCACTCTATAACGATTTCCTCACCACTCTTCTGCACCCCGGAAACTGGTATGGAGTAACGCTGACTGTCAACTGCAATTGGAAAAATAAAAATAATAATAATGAACAACCCTCCCCCCAATAATCAAATAATCAGTGATTTAAAAAATAATAAAATCCTGATGAAGAAGAGAGAAGATTGGCCCAGTGTGGCTTGGTGGGCTGAGCGTTGTCCCGTGGACTGAGAGGTCCCGGTTCGGTTCCGGGCCAGGGCACGTGCCTGGGTTGTGGGTTCGGTCCCCAGTCGGGGGCGTGCAGGAGGCAGCAGATCGATGTTCTCGCTCATTGACGTTTCTCTCTCTCTCTCCCTTCCTCTCTTTCGAAACAATCAATAAAATATATTGAAAAGAAAAAAGGGGACCCTAGAGAATGTCATTGAAAAAGGAACATTCTGGGTGAGGCAGAGGGAAGAGACTTTGGGGTCGCGTGCCCCCAGAGAACAGCGCGCTGTACCCGCGAAGGAGTGTGAGCCCCATGATTTCACGACCAGGACTGGAGGCTCTGTGGGGAGTGGTTGATGGTTTTACTCTCTCACAAGAACTACAAGAACGTTTAAGAGGAGAGAATTTATTTGTTGAGATTTTTAACGTGATGTGTCTAATCTCTGATGCTGAAAATAACTTAGTACTTTCTTCCCCCCAGAAACCTTCAGAAAGTCCTCCCTGGGCATCGATGAAGCCGAGAAAGAAAAGAAAAAGTTCCTCGGGTTTTTCAAAGTCAACAAAAGAAGCCACAAGGTAACGGCTCGGACGCGCGTGGGGTCCTGCATCTTGTAAACGGGCTCCCGGGGCGTCTGTGCTCCTGCTGCCTTGGAAGGTTCTGAACATGTTGGGAGGCGCAGGGATCCCCTCGGGTGAAGGGGGTTTCCCAGTGTGCACCGCAGTGCTGACTCCGCCTTCCCCGCGCGCACCCCCGGGCAGTGCCGGGCCCGGGTTCACTCTCCGGGGCGGGGGCCCTGGCGTGTCCGCCGGTGCGTGCAGTGCCCGGGCTGGCGCTCAGGAAGCTGCGGGCTGGAGGACTGGGTGCCGTGCAGCACTGCTGGGCGCAGACAAAACCACCCGGGGCCCCCACACGCACCCAAGTGTCAGGAACTGCCCCCAACGCCACCAGAAAGCCTAGAAGTGCGCTGTTCGAGCAGCGTAAGAGCCAAGGCGCTGGGACAGACGGCCGACTCGGCTGATACTGGCAGGAAAGGGGGCGATCGGGTCAGTCTTTGCTGCTGGGGTTGCTTCTTCGCCCCTGGCTCTCTCCACTTGCATTGCTCCGGGCCGTCTCACTGAACCTTCATGGACGCCTGGTGAGACGTTGGTCACCCCGCCTCGAGGTGACAGAGCGGGCTGGGGCGCGAGGGAGCACCCGCCGGAGCCCGGCCGCCTCTGTCCGGAGCCCCCACCCCTCGCCCACACTGCACGCGTCTAAACAAGCCGCCCTCGTTTCCCTCGCTCGTAAGGAGAGGGTTGAGAGTAAACACCCTCGTAAATGATTTCTCAGCTCCCCCGTGCCTCCCAGTCCACAGACCTGTGGGGAGCAGAGCAGGAGGGGCATCGAGGCCTTTGAAGCTGAAGTGACCTTTCATGTAGCCCCCGCAGGAGAAAATAGAAGCGCGTGTGCGTTTGTGCGTGCGTGTGTGCGTGTGTGTGCTGTGCGTGCGTGTGCGTGCGCGTGATCTCTCAGTACAGGATATATTTAAGGGATGCCATTTTGGCTGAAGGAGATGACAGCAAATATCCCTTCCTGTTTTGAAACTTTGGTGCTTTGATGTTTTCACATGACAGTTTGTGTCACTCCGGCACTATCCGCCCTTGGCACCCAGTAGTCCTGAGAGGTACTTAAGAATCACCCCTGACTATCGGATCCGCGGGCCGTGAGCGTCCCACCTGGGAGGTGAGGAGGGCCTGGACCTGGATTTTCCAGCTGCACCAGGTGACTCCGCGGCTCGTGGCCAGGACATCACCCCGAAGAGCCTTCTCTGGACAGTGATGTGCAGAGTTGTCACGGTGCACCTTTGTCAGTGAGGACGTGGGACCCTTGTTGGTTCTGTCTCTCGCCCCCCGTCCGTGCTCAGCGCAGGGCAGACTGAGCGTACACCGTGCGGATCGCGTCATCAGCCCGGGCACACTGCTGTCTATCGCTGCTGTTTTCTGAGCTACAGGGACGCTGTTGGGGAAGGAGGGACGGTCGACGCCGGGGCTGTGGGTTTCGACAGTGCGGGATCAGACCAGGGAGCAGGTAGGGACCAGCCTTCAGGTCCCTGAGCTGAGGTCGTGGCTGTGGGTCACACCTACGCAGTGTGGCCGCCTGGCGGTGTGCCGCGCCGGCGCTGGGCCTGGACGCTGGCTGAGGGTGGCCCTGTTGTCTGCGCCCCGTCACCCGGAGATGACATGAGCTGTGCTCCTGTTGCAGGTGGAGCAGCGCCGGCTGTCGGGGGTGGACAGCGACGAGGACACCTCCAAGTCTGTGCTGGGCAAGGGCTCGAACGTGAGTATGGGCACCAGCGGGTACTCCTTGCTCAGCACAATGCTTTGCATGACCTTCCAGAAAGTGGGATCGTGGATGACTTTAGTTGTATTGGGGTTCGGGGTGGGGTTGTTGTTTTTTCCTCCTGAGTCCGGGTAGAAGCATAAGGCTGCATTCAGCTCCCTCTGCCTGCTCCGTTTGGAGACAGGGAATATTTTAGTTTCTCCTTCTCTGTGGCAATCAGCACGGCCAGGAGGACCCTTTGTTAGATGAACTGAAGTTGCACTCTCTGGAGTTACTTCCGTTCACCAGTAGAGTAGCTGATGGTCGTGGAGACACACTGGCCTGTGCCCGAGGCCTGGATCTACCCGTTCCTGAACTCCACAGCTGCACTCCGAGAGAATTCTATCAAACTGCCCGAGCCCTCACACTTCCACGTTGCCAAATGAAAGGGTTCTTCGCAATTTTTAATACCTAAAAGAAAATAATTCACAGCATCTTATAAACATGGACCTTTCAAATGAATCTGATAAAAGTGTGATGCTCCTGACCACGCCCTCACAATAGCAAAGACCGCTCTTCTCTCTCAGTGAGAAACTGCACTGTTGTTCTTTTCCCTGGCTGTACATGTTCCTGCCAGCCCCACGTAAAGCTTCATTCTATGCAATATATTTTCATGCCTGGAACTCTTCTATCAAAACTCGAAATGAACTATGACATGAAATTTAAATGTCTTAGTTAGATATTTAATTTCCTGTGATCATAACACTTTAGGAAAATACTGTTCTAGGTGGAGTTCTTATCACAATCACAAATGAAAAAGAGTATAAAAATATTACAGCTGTCGCTAGATCATTGTTAACCGTGAAAAGTAAATTTCTCTTGAAAGGCATCTTTTAATAAGATGAAATATCATTTTTTCATTTATTCTGCGTGTCCATGAATGAACACGTTTTGCGGATAAAACTGGAAAAGCTTTCGCATGAGTTCTGTGCCCCTTTTCATTTTGGGGGTGCAAGCCCCAGGAAGCATCTTAATAATGAAGTGTAGAAGCCGGAAAGGCCCTTGAAGCCCCAAATAAATCACTTCGTGCTCCCCCAAAAAGCCTGTGGTGATCTCCAGTATCAAACTGGACTTTGCGCGATCTGTTACCTGCTCCCGATCAGGTCCTTTTCGAGTCCATCAGGAGCAGGGTTCGGACTCCGTCTGACGGGAGGGGTTGCTGGTCACCCCCAGCTGCTGGCTTTGGGGAGACATGAGAACAGGCATGCCTCATCGAGGCTCATCCAACAACACGCATGCTCGTGACGGGCTCATCGGCACTTCCTAGACCTAGTATATCCTCTGTAAGATTCAAGGACATTGAAATACTGTCATTTTTCATTCACTTTCACCGACACAATGTTTCCTAATAAAATGGTTATTATTATGGGTTTTTTTTTGGTATGTGCCCCTAGCGGGAACCAAACCCAGGAGTCTCTGGTCTGCAGGCTGATGCTCCAACCGCTGAGCCAAACCGGCCAGGGCTAAAATGTTTATTTTTAAATGTTATCTCAAATTTTAAATTCGTTTTCTGAAGGTGTTCAGTGTGTAGCTTTAGCCCTTGTGGTGTATGGGCAGTGTCTGCTCTGCACCCAGGCCGGCAGCTCCTGTCCTTGGCCACCTTGTGGTCATTCCCGTCAGAACCCAGAAGGGCCGGAGTTAAATCACGCGGGGGCTGAGAAACCTCTTCCCCGGTTGTATGATCTTCAGCAAAGCGTTACCTGCAGCAGCCACACCAGCTCTGCCTTCCTTTGCTGTAAAACAGACCTAAGTGACCCGAGAAAGCTTTGAGAAGTCTGCCGCCCGATACCCTGACAGACATCTCTCATCCGGCTCAGTTTCGGCCACAGACTGTCGGGAAACATCTCCTGCGAGTTCCCGCACCCTGCGAGCCGCATCTGTGTTTGACTGGGAATCTGTGTTGTGACTTCGATCTGCTGGGCCGCTCACACTCCTGGCTCGTCGCCGTGGCCCAGGCATGACGAACTTTTCCGCTGCAGGGAAGGTCCGCAGAAATTCTGCAGCGCACATTAGTAACTTGCGAGAGTTATTTTATTTACTGATGCGACGTGACACATTCACGACCTTGGTGGATAGAGGGGTGGACAGACAGGTAGCTGAAACCCAGCAGAGTCTTCCCGGGACTGGCCGGCGTGTGCCCACCTGGCCGAGCACCGCACAGCTGTGAACGGGCGGAGGCAGAGAGTAACAGACTGACGCGGAGTCCCCTTTAGGACATGCTTTCTTCTCATTTTGTTAAAAAATGAAGGGTTGCTTTCACTGAAAACCAGAGTCGGTACCTGAAGCCGCACTGTGGCAGATTAATTGTCGGCCTGGGAACGGAGGGGACTGGGTTTGAACCCCAGGGCGGGACAGCACTAAGGTAGCAGGGATGACGGTGACCACAGCTGCCGTCGCGTGCCCTCCGCCCGTGTCTGGCTGCAGAGGGGCCTCTGCCTGCACTTCCCTCACCGGCACAGGGGGTGGAGCACTGCCCACCCTGTGGGGTCCCCGGATTCGCAGCTACCGAGCTCGCCAGACCCCGGAGGGAGCCCCCTGAAAGGAGGCGGCCCGCTGACCAGGGCCGTGTTGAAAGTGTGCAGACATTATCCACTGTACGTGCGTCATCACGTCGGTCCCTGCAGAGTCTGCAGGGAATCGGTCTGCACTGGGAAGGCGGGTCCCAAGGCAGATGGTCAGCGACCAGACCCCCCCTGGAAAGGTTGGTTAGTGTCAGGTGAACCGGAGTTTAGTCCAAGGTACAAAGCGTCCTTGAGTCACAGTAGATGGGATCACCTCCCAAGTAATTTCAAGTCATTTTCCTGGAACTTTTTCTTTTTCAGGAAACTCTCCTCTCTGTACCCAGGTACAGTGTACACTTTCTGCCACTCGTCCAGGCCCTGAGATACGGGGGGGGGGGGGGTTGTGGCCAGTCACCCCCGGATGTGACGGGTGGGGTGGTAGCGGGTGTCTCCGGTCCGTCCCCTCAGGCACGCAGCAGGTGCCCGAGTCCATCTGTAAGTCAGCGCGCAGAACGCCACAAGCAGCCCTGGCCGGGGGGCTCGGTTGGTTGGAACGTCACCTGTGCACCAGGAAAGTGGCGGGTTCGACTCCCGGTCAGGGAACGTACCCAGGGGGCGGGTCTGATCCCAGATCGGGGTGCGCAGGGAAGGCAACCAACCGATCACATCCATGTTTCTCTCTCTCTCTCTCCTTTCTCTCTAAAAATCAATAGAAA